AGCCCTTGACTTTTGACAGTCTCCTGAGTCCGGTTGTTCAACTGGATCTCGTGGGTAATGAGGGATCCCGCAAGCTGTTCTAGATTGAACTTGGTGAAGTCTTTTGATTCCTGCACAGCTGCAACCTTTGCTCTCCATCTGTCATTGTCTGGAAGACTTCTTAAGACCTTTCTTACCTGCTCATCTATAGGAATTATCTTACCAAGACACGTTAGTTCATTAGTAATACTTTTAAATCGAGTAAACATGTCTTTAATGGATTCTTTGTTTCCCATTTCAAAGCGCTCATACTGAGATAAAAGAATGTCTATTTTGGAACGTTTAACATCTGACGTTCCTTCATGTGTAACTTCCAGAAGTTCCCAAATTTCTTTTGCGGACTTGCACCCTTTGACACGACTACACGAGTATGTTCATTGGGTCCAAGTCCCCAAATTAGAAACTTTTTGGCAGTAGCATTCATTTCTAATTTTTCGAAATCAGTTTTTTCATATTCATCCATAGGTTTAGGGATTACCTCATTGTTAGCATTCGTTTTCGTAATTTCGTAATCTCCTACTTGTATAATCCGCCATACCTGATAATTCTCTGCTTGGATAAAGATTTCCATCTTATCCTTCCAATAAGGATAATATTTGTCGTTGAAGTATGGAGGCCTTTGAATGGATGTACTCCCGAATTCCTTTTCCTCTGTGTAAGCCATTTTCCCAGGAACTCACTCAACAGGGTTTCCTGCGTGCTCTGAGTTCCCGCTCTGATACCAACTGAAAGTCTAACTGGCTAATACAAGAGGGGGGGTGAATTGTATTTGAGGTGAAATCTAAAAACTTTTGCGGAATTTAACTAAATGAAATAATGACGAGAGAAGATATAGGCTTTTCTAAATTTCCACTATGTAATCAAACTCTTTACAAGTGAAGATTCAAACCCGTTAACAAGTTCCACAAATTAGGAACTTGTTCCCAACTCTCACAGAAGCCTTCAGCAGCGAAGCTTCCTTGACCTCACTTTACAAACTCACAATCCCAACCCCAAAGTACTTGAATACAATCTGTGATTACAAATACCTATTACACTCAAGAATATAAGAAGAATAATAACTCTCTTTATGTTATTAGATGGCTACTGGAATTTTTATGTTCAAGAGTTATATTTTGCTGAGATAGTTTGCATGAGTATTTATAGAGAAGGCTTAGTCATTAACCTCCACTATAATTACGTCCACATGCCAACACCCCACTAACAACTTGTGGAGTTATCTTGACAGATGGTGATCAAGAAGGAGGTTTCCTAGCCTTATCTCACTAATCCACTATCTCAACAACTTGATAAACATTAGCTATGATAAAACGTATAATCAGCGATTTTCACAAAGAAAACTGCTTGCTAACTTTATCAAAAGTTTGTTTTAAAAAGATTTTATTTTAAAAAGGATTTTATTTGAAAAGATAATTTAATTATTTATATTAAAACCACTAGATAATTATCTTCGATAATTATCTTTATTCGAAATAAAATTACTAGATAAAACTTTTATAAATTATCTTTTCCCTTAAGAAATTATCTTTTAAAAATAACTTTTATTCCAGTAGTCTTAATAACATAAGTCATTGAGTTTCTTTCCGACTTTATATTATTGAGTGCTCACAATTAAAACTAGAACGTGAGATTTGCATGAGGCTTTTTAGAGAATGCTACTCCGCATCCAAGTTCCTACTCCGGAATGAACTTTGCTTGAACCCTTTATTCACCAAAGACTCAAAACGTTCATTAGTCGAGTTTGTCAATTTGTCCATCAAAACCAAAAGGCTTAACAGAAATATATATAGATATACATATATGTGTATTTTAAATTATCTATTTTGCTAACAATAGACTCTTTCATAACTAATTCATTTTACAAAGTAGTAACTTAAATAGATTTTTTTATAATTAAATATAATGTTAATAATTATAGAGTAGTTATTGAAAATTACCGTGCATGACACAGGAACTAACTTAGTACTTTATATTACGGAGTAGATGTTAGAGTTTAATTGACAAAAGTCCAATAACATACTTTCCAATTATCATAATTTATATTAGAGCACAATTTGAGCAACTAATGTTAGTATGTTACTAATGGAAGAGGGTGCGCAAGATTTGACCCCAACAAAAGCGGGGACAAATGATGAAAACTAAATAGTGCAATAACTGTTCCTAAATTGATATTACAACGACATATCACAACAAGTTGTAACAAAATCACCAATACTAAGTAGAATACCGGTAAGAGGAGCATGGCCCAAAACTTAGTTTGAAATTGACGTCTTAAAAATGGGAAACCGTAGATGTAACACTCAACTCACAAGCAAATGGCCTGGTCGATCGTTTTGCTTGTGTGGCAGCTGACCATACTAAGGGACATCTTAAGTATTAAGCATAATTAGTGGTGCCTGGCTGTTCCCACTGCCTTAGGTTAGGTATTATCGATATTGTACTATGATTAAACCCGTCTTATGATTTCAAACATCAAATTTCAAAAACTAATAATTACTATTGGTATAATTTTTGTGTGCTTGAATTGCCTAGATCGGATATTAGCGCGTAACTACGGAGTAATATAGAGTATATATTGGCCAATTCAAGTATGTAATAGTAATTTTTTTTTTTTTTTTTTTGAAGACATGTAATTGTAATATAGGTGGGTGAAATGGGTCTTATTACTCTTCTGAACTCATTACTCGTAAAGTCGTAATAGCTAGCTTGTCAACTATACAAGTGTTTAGTACACTTTATACGGAATACATTGCTCAAATTTTCAAGCTATATGTGTTTAAGTGATTGGCTAAAATTTCAGCTGTAGATTAATTTATTTGTAGCTTTCAATTTTATAGTGTTTGAATGATAGATACAATCATACGATATTTCATTTTTCATTGTCAATGCCTGAGTTTTGGTTTTTTTTTTTTTCAAAAAAAAAAACTTTAGCAACCTTTTTAATTGGCTTAATAAGTATATATGAACACTCTTAAAAAAACATTTTGATTATTAGTGTAATTAACTTAACAAAAAGAAAGAAAAAATATGTATAGCTTTAGTCAAGCAATTAAACATTTTTTTTACACGATAAGATACGGGGGGTGCCCCTCCTAGGCTCCTATCACAAAAGGGGTGAGGTGAGAATCGAACACAGGTCACTCTTGGGCGTCCCTCCATTCCTTGATCCTCAAGCAATTAAACATTATGGTTAAAAAAATTGCACTTTTTTTTTTTTTTTTTTTTTAACTTTAAACTACGAGCTGAGTGATTTATCTAAGTACATACTTTTGTAAATCGAATCAGTTCCTCTAATCTCCGAGTCCGATGTGGCAAACGGATCTGTACAATTGACCACTTAAATCCGTTACTTCACTACTCTAGCACATATGATGTCAACATGCTCATCACCTCATCACTCGTCACTAGCTACACGCCTACACGCCTGAGTAGCCAAGTATTCCCTTCCATTATTATTATTATTATTATTATTATTTATTGTTCCTATTTTGATTTTTCATGTCAAATTTCAAAAGAAACCAAAAATTCTTATTAATAGATGAAGTCTATAAAAAATATAGTCGTATAAATATTGTTAATTTGTTACATTTTTCATGTACTCATATAATATCAAATTTTTTTTATAAATTTTATGCTATTAGAGAGTAACATACAGTGAAAGAAATTGATAGGGAGATTGAACAAAGTCAAAAACAGGAGAAAAAAATAATAATAAAAGAAGTATATATACTGTATTTTAATACACCGTAGTATTATACTTGTACTTTATTTATTGATTTGTTCTTAATAAGTCAATATGTTTGGTTTAAAGTTTTAGCCCCACGACCCTGACCCTGATGTACCAGTTACATATTGATTCTCCAATCTCCACCGTTAGTTCCATAGCAGCCAGCTGCTTAGATTTTATTTTAGTTGTTTTTTATGACTGCCTAAGATTGCATATATTTCGTCAGAGGAATACCAAGACAAATTATTAATGGGTATTATATATATATATTATTATTTTTTTGGACGTTATATACACTCAAATAATTAATGATATGTAGAAGTGATAAGAGAAATCCCTAAAATTGACCCTTAGATATTTGATCCTTAAACCACAAGTCCATAGGGATTGAAACGGGAACGATATCACTACTCCACCATTTGAATTCAATCAAAATAAATTTAATTTAATGTCTAAAAGGTGGGATATACCATATACGTACGTATCTATCTAGCTGTAGTATTGACTACTAGCTACCAATAACAAGGATAATTCTGTAGCGAAGTAACCTATTAATTAGTGATTACTAATTACGTATATATTCTTAACACGTAAGATGTGATTTAAAGTGTAATTAAGTTCTTCTTGCATGTTGACATTATGACAAAAAGGCCAATGACCATTCCTAATTTAGGAGAGTTACAATTTATGGTTGTGATTATATAAGATCATCTCAATCTCTCCCAAAACAGGAAAAGAAACAATCGTTTTGCAAAAAAAGAGATTAGGATCAAGCAAAAACAGTAGAAAACTAATTCACGTTGGACATGTTTATTTCCCATGCTTTAGCTAATAAACAAAACCAAATTGAAGTGGAAATCACACTAGATTGCGGAATCAGACTTCAACAACAGAGAATCAAAGCCATATGCAACGTTAACATGGTTAATTCTTCACTTATGTAGAACATTAGAATCGTTCTTACTACAAAAAAAAAAAAAAAAAAAAATTACAAAAATACACCCATACACTTTACCAGTTTGCCTATGCTGTACGGTATGGTCGTTATCAAAATACGGAGTATACAACCTAATACTAATCCTTCTACGTACTCCGTAGACAACTCTTTGTCCTTTATTTCGTTTTTTACTTGCGTAATTAATTTAGTAATTCATTCCCCTTTATATTTTATTCTTCAAAGATTTTTTTTATTAAATTCGTCTGTATTGTTTCATATACCCCTATAAATATCACCCAAAGATTCCTCTCTCACTCCAAAGTGTTCATAAATAAAAATTAAATTAAAAAGAGAAAGATCCTTTCTCTCTCTTCCCTTTCTCTCTGCTTCACTCTCTCACCGGAAAATTCTCACCGACTTTTACCTTTTCGCCGACTTTCCATTTTTTTTTTCTCTCCTCTAAAATCACATAACATACTATTAATTTCAAACAATTCAAATCTATATTTTAATCTCATAATTTAATTATATTTTCGATTTGTGAACCGCATTGAACTGCGTTTTCCGATCCGATTTTCCTGGCTTAACTAATGATTAAAGTGCCAGCATAATTTTTTAAATTTTTATCAAAATTATTATTAATAATCTTACTCTTTGATTTTGTATGTTATTCCGAATTTTCTTTCTCAAATTTATTTGATTTTGAAGTTTTTTTTTTTATTTTTTCTAATCAGTTTGATTAATATTGTTATTGGAGGAAAGAGAAAATTTACGGCGGAAATGGCGGTGGCGACGCCGTATCTGCATTTTCCACATTCACCGAAGAAATTAACATCATCAAACGACGCCGTTTTGCTTTTCCGATCTACCTTTCTCGGAACGACGTCGTCTTCTTCAAAGATATACAGAATACGTTCTTTCGAGTTCAAACCAAAACAGAGGCCTTCATCTCTTCCTACTATTCGTCGAGCTTGTAGCGCGAACTTCGATACATTTTCCGACGAAGATTTCTCCCGGAAAATCCAGGAGTTAACCTATAGTTTTCAAATTTCCGACGAAAATTTCGTCGAATCTCAAACTAATTTTAATTTAAACGATAGCAACGATGATGAAGAAGATGACGAAAAATCGTTGTTAAAATCGCCATTAATGGAGATCCAAAGTGTCGAAATGAAGGCGAAAAGCTTAGATCTACCTCTATCTCTTCGGATGATTAAGAGGAAGAAGAAACAATTGGAGGATAGTTTGATACAAGCTGGAGAATCAGCTTATTGTTCGGTAAAAACAGCGTTTTCATCAATGGTGTTTATAATCAGAGAGCTTCATAGTTATACTCTTCAGATGAGAGAGATTTTGTATTTTGAAGATTTACAAGGTATTTTAGGAAGAGTTCAGAGTGAAATGCATGCTTCATTTGTATGGCTTTTTCAACAAGTGTTCTCTCATACTCCTACTTTAATGGTGTATGTTATGATATTACTGGCAAATTTTACTGTTCACTCTATGTCTACCTCCGCCGCCTTTGCTGTTTCTCCTCCGGTTGCCACCGTGGAGGAGAGAGAATTCAGCGGCGGCGGTAGTCGATTTGAGTTTGACGGTGCTGCGACGAAGAGTTTTACAGTGAGCTCGTCTTCTAAGACGACGGCGGTTGGCGGGAACAATGGTGGTGGGAATACCGTGAGGCCGGTAGGGAGTGGGATGGACGGTGATAGTTCGATGAATAACAATTCGGGGATTGTACACCGTCCGTTTGTCCCTGATGGCGTGTCCTCCGTGAGTACGCAGGAGGACACGCGGCGGAACGAGGATGAAGAGTTTGAGACTTGGAATAGGATTGTTGATGAAGCTTCTAGAATGCAGAGTGAATTGAGAGATGAATCTCTTGATAATGAGACTATGCAGATGTTTGTTTCCCCGGTGACGGCGAAAATCGAAGCTGATGATTATGTTGATTACTTCAAAACAGAGCTTCATTATCAGAGTATTGTTGCTCAAGACCCTACTAATGCTTTGATCTTGGCTAATTATGCTCAGTTTCTCTATCTCGTTGTTCATGACTTTGACAGGTAAAGCTCTAATCCCTCTAATATGTTTGGATGTGTTAGGATTTGATTTACTATTTCTTGATTTAGATATGTTCTGATTAGTCTGTTTGTGTTAGTCAAATTCGATGATAGTTTTTGTACACACAGCACCGTAGATTAGTGGAAATTTCATGTCTAGTAGAACAATGTCAAAAGTTAAAACCTCAGCTAATTGTGAGGTTTTTGTGTGAATTGACGTGATTAATCATGGTAATTCATTACTTGGGTGTGATGATTGTATTGATGAATGTAAAAGTGTTTGAATTTTGTACCTAAGTTTTTTATATAGAAATAATTTGTCGCATACTATATATGGCTGAAAAACCCTCAACTTTATTATGGTATGTATGAATGATAAAGGTTAAATTTGAATGAATGTGGACATAAAAGTATTCTGATTTCTTATTTAAATATTTGCAACAAAATCTGTACAGTACTAAATTGAACTAGTAATAACAAAAGGTGCACATTTTTGGTGTTTGTTTGTAACAGAGCTGAGGAATACTTCAAAAGAGCTACTAAGGTGGAGCCAAAAGATGCCGATGCACATAACAGATATGCACATTTCTTGTGGCAAGTAAGGAACGACTTATGGGCTGCTGAAGAGACCTTCTTAGAGGCTATTTCTGCTGATCCTGGTAACTCTTTCTATGCTGGTAGTTATGCCAGTTTCCTGTGGAACACGGGCGGTGAGGACACGTGTTTTCCTCTCGATGATGAAACCCTCGACGAGTAGAATACAGGAGATACAATAACGATTGGGTTGAACTTGGAAAACTAAAAAACGAGGGAGTAGTAAATTAGTAATAGTAAGTGGTATAGGCCCAACACGATGTGTGGATTTACATTCAGCACATAAGGAACATCTTTCGGAAGCTTCTAGAGCGGACCGTGTTGGGTTTATACGGCCACATTGTAGAAGTAGTAGGCGACAGTATAGGTGATGCCACCGCCCAGGCGCCCACCATTCATAGACATAATTGGAATTCCTCCATTGGGTACCTAATGTTCATTTAGGGTGACAAAAGTTGGTGTTAAGTTGTTGGAAGAATTGAGAGGAAGAAGAGAGAAAATGCGGGTGAACAATTTGCACATGGTGAAAAAGTTGGGATTTGAACGTGTGACATAAAGATAGCAATGGTTAGTGTTCGAAAAAACTCTAGCCTCAGAGTTAAAAGAGGGCCAATTTTTAATGCACATAAACCTTTTCATTTAGACATCGTATATGTTCAATAGTGAACATGTAACTAGATTTTCTTCTGTTTTTGTTCATAGGATACTATATGTAATGACATAATATTCTACTAATCAGAAACAATGTTAATTAATTATGAAGTTGTATAATAAAAAAGAGGAATTGAATAAATAATAAAAAAAGAGTTTTGGAACATGGGAACTATATGCTCTATAACAGAATTGTCTTTTAATTTTCTGCTTTTGTTTTGGACTTTGCTTTTGGTTAATGCTTAGTAGCGTGGGTTGATTTTTCGTATGGCAACTTGCAATTTGTTTGATAGCTCTAGTTTTGTGATATTTTGTAATTTGTACTTGGTTATTAGTTGAAAGAACACTACACTATAATACTATTCCACAAGTTGAATATTGATTTTGACTTGTAGTACTGGACGCCTTGAGCAACCCGTGATTGAAGGGATTTTTTTTGTTACTTAATTCGTGTTAGTGGTGTTTAATTTCATTCGTGAGATGCAAATCTTTTCACTAGTCAAATTTTATTTAGTTTTTTTTTTGGTCCTTCGATTTAAGTATATGCAAGTATTTTCGAAAGGCAAACTTGAAGTTGAAGGGTGTGCAATCTGTGCATAGATATATAGTTGAGTGTCATCATTATGGAATATGGAGTAAAAGGTACAAAGGATAAATTATTGTGTAAAAATGATTACTATGCACTAATATTGCTTCGAGGGATTAAGGGATACCTCAAATGGTTAGAATTTCTCTCCCGATTTCAAGGAATCTTGAGATCAATTTTCATCGCTCGTCTTTGTTGCTTTCTAAACACCAAAAAAATAAAAATATACGAAGTAGGACTCTGGAAGCTCAACTATTTTTTACATAGTATTTGTAAGATACACAGTCTCTCAATTACCTTTATATTATTGATACTTTTATTATCAAAAAATGAGATGTTATTTATAACTAGTGTCATTGTAGAGTCACACCCATAAATTAGGAAATGCATTGATACATAATTAGATGACATAAATATCTTTAAAGATAAGGGTAGGCGTAAAATTGTATGTAATCAATTTTCATGTTTAAAATTTTAAAATCTATAATTTGATTTATCAAATGTGTATGCATAGAGTACTTTCTACAAATTTGTTATGGAGTGTTGAAAATTTCAAAATCTTGGTAAATAGTTAAATACGAGTCGCATTCTTTTAGAACTAGCAAACCAAGCTTGTTGAATATATCCTTATAATTCGTCCATGTACACAATAGTTAGTGATAACACCACACCATAGAGTACTTACTTCAATCAAGTCCTATTCAACGCTAATATCCTATAGATTGTTAAGTACGGAGTTACATTTTCAGACTCTCTATCTTGATTTAATTTAAATTGAACTTGCAATATTCGAAAACTATTTGATCGTTTTAAGATTTTTCTCGTGAGATTGGTTGGATCGTTAATATGCATATTTTCCTTACCTAAAAAACTAGTCAGCCATTTAATTGCGTGTATTGCTAGATCAAGATCACTATCTCACCAATGCTCCACAAAAGTAGGATGCTACTTGCATATGTTTCTCTTGAAAAGATTACACTAAAATTCATCCCAAAAATTCTGGAACAAGCATGTTATTGGATCATGATTAGTCGAAAATTTTGACAGTATTAATTGTGATTGAGACCTTAATTGTTAGGAGGTTTAATCTTGTTTAATCAAAATTGATTTACATAAAATTATTATTATTGGTAGTAAAATGTGACAGGGACTATTTTGAGGTTGTCAAGTTCTACTTGGAATTTGGTGCTAGTAAAATACACACTATACTATTTGTTGTTATTATTATCTCTTAGCTGTCTCTTAGCTTATTGCATGCAATATTTAAGGCAAGTTGATGGAGATAATACTAGAGTTCTTTTATAAAATCGAAAATGATGAGTTATTTAATTGATATAATATACAAACTAATTTTTGCCGTAATTGTTACCTATTTAAGTACTGCTCAATCGATTATAGTAGGAGTAACAAATTAATTAAGAAGATACACTAGTTTCGCGTAAATTAAACTACGGGTAGTCAACCAGTTAGTTGGAACTGACCATATAATTAAAAAGCATAATATAATCAAGCTATAAAGTAAACTATAGTTTTTTTTTTTTTTTTTTTTTTGAGCTTAGCCAGGCTCATTTGCTTTCCCAAAAAAAAAAAAAAAAAAAAAGGTGAGAGAGGCCAACGAGAAAATGATGCATTATCACATGTCTGATGTCTCCATTCTTCTTCCCATGCTTGATTGCTACTAAACCTGGGCACGGGCCGGGTTGGCCCGCGTGCGCCCGGCACGACCCGAATTCAAGCACGGCACGGCACGAAGTTCAACTCCCGTGCCACGGACAGGGTTGAGAATTCCCAGGCCCGGCCCGGCACGAGCACGGCCCGTAGGCACGGCCCGCGGGCCAACGGTAATGTTACCGTTTATTCTAGCTCCTTAATAAGCCAAAAAAACGGCTAGTTTTTTGCCAATTTGCTCCCCAAAAATTCTATAAATACTCACCTCCATTTCATTCCCAAATCACAAAATCACAATCTCTTCTTCTTATCTCTTATATTCTCTAAATCTCTAATAATCCTTATTTTCTTAAATTCTCTAATTATTTTCCTAATATCGGAAAAAATTAAAAAGTTCGTAATCGTAATTAGTGGAGCGTTGAAGCACGGTTGTAAGATCTAAACTAATCTTAAATTTATTATTGTTTTATTGTTATTATTAGAATAATCTTGTTTAATTATTATTGTTGTTAATTGTTATTGTTGTTGTTATAATTGTTGTTATTAATTATTATTATTGTTACAATTGTTGTTATTATTTATTTTTGTTGTTATTGTTATTGTTATAGTTGTTGTTATTAATTATTATTATTGATATTTTTATTGTTAAAATTGTTGTTATTAATTATTATTATTATAGTTAACCACTTTTTATTAAAAAATTAATTGTTAATTATGGCATCGAACAACCCATCATCTAGGTCTAGGGGGAAAGGTCGACTTATCCGTAGTAGTAGTTCTAGGGAACCACCAAATACAACGAGCCCCCAAATTACGAGTCAAACCAATGACCCCATTTACTTCCCCCCGGGCTATGAGCCATATAATACGTCGGGATTTCCAGCACCACCACTAAACCAATTTCCACTACCACCATACCAATTTCCACCTAATTATATCGGTGATCAACAAAACTATTGTTCTAGCCAAGGTAGCCAAGAAAGTACCCGAATTCCCTCCGGTTCTACCCCTTCTACTGCCACTCCCACTAGTCCCACTACTAACCATCACACACATCATGAATGGTTAACCGAAACTGAGATGCTACTTTTGAAAAACCGAAGGAGTGAGGTATGGCGTTATTTTGTCCTAAGTAAAGATGGTGAACAATGGGCAAAATGTAAAACATGTAATAGTGTATTCACGGCAGTTACCAAAAACGGGACGGGACACTTATCTAGACACATGAAAGCTTGTGCAAAACCAGCTAGTGATCCAACCCAACCCAAAATTTCCCAATTCCATCCATACGGCTTTACATACAACTATGAGAGGGATAGGGATGAACTAGGAAAAATGATAGTACACGCCGAACAACCTTTTCTTTTCTCGGAAAGTGACGCATTCAACACCTACATTAACAAAGCACTACAACCCCAACATAAAAGAATCTCTAGGAAAACCGTCCGTTCCGCCGCAATGAAAAATTTCCTAGAGTACAAAGTCCGGTTACAAGCCGAATTGAGTAACCTTAACTGTAGAGTATCTTTAACAGCCGATTCTTGGGATAGTGGTTATAAATATCACTATTTATGTGTGACTTGCCATTGGGTAGATGATCAATGGATGTTACAAAAAAGAATAATACATTTCGAAATGCTGGAATACCCACACACCGGCATTAACATTGCTCACCATTTAATGCAAGCAATAGACGAATACAACCTTCGAGATAAAATGATGTCTATGACTTTTGATAATGCAACCTCTATGACATACACAGCTAATCTTATCAAACAAAACTTAACTGATGTACTATTAGACGGTGAAGCTCTTCATACTAGATGTGTTTGCCATGTACTTAACTTATGTGTACAGGATGGAGTTCGGGCAATTGGCTCATACTACAGCAAAATCAGAGATGCTATTATGTCTATTAATAGCTCTAACATGAGATACCAAGAATGGAAGAGTTTTCTAAAACAACAAAAGATAAGGGTAATAAAAATTAGAACTGATTGCCCAACTAGGTGGAATTCCACCTATGACATGTTAACAAAGGCAATTGAGTACAAGGGCCCGTTAACATTATTTTACAACCAAAAATTTCCACAAAATGCTTTGTATGATGATGATTGGAATAACTGTGAAAGATATATGCAATTTTTACAGTTATTATATAACATGATGTATTGTTTTTCTACTGTTTACAATCCTTGTGCTCAAAACTTTCTTTCTAATGCATGCTTACTCGCCCAACTTTTCGCTGATCATCGCCATCAAAGTGATTATGATCAGTATCTTCCAGCAATGGAAATAAAGTGGCGTAAATATTATAGTGAGATTCCTTTGATTTATATTTTTGCTTCCATATTAGATCCTAGGCAAAAGTATGAAAACACATTTATGTTAGTTGACATTTACTTTCACTGCATGTTTCTTGACGATGATGTAGAAAACTATAAGACTGATGTGAAGGATCAGTTTTTTGCTTTATATAGAGTCTATGAAGCCAAATATGGCACCGTTCCTCGCTCAGGGCCTTCCCAACCATCCAAAAACGTAAGTAAGAAGGCCAAACATTTATTTTCACAAGCTACTAACTTGATTTCAAGGTTTTCAGGTGATTCATCAATCAGGAGAACGCAAAGCGACGTCTCGGAGTTGCAGATGTACCTGAGTTACGACTTCACCAAAGGCATGGACGACGATGAAATAAACAGCCTCGACCTCCTTGCATGGTGGAAACAACAAAGCTCGAAGCATCCAACTTTGGCGGCAATGGCACGAGACATTCTTGCTATCCAAGTTTCCTCCGTCGCCTCCGAACGAGCTTTCAGCGCATCCGGAAGGGTTTTAGACGATAGAAGAACAAGTCTAAAACCCGAAACACTAGAAATGTGCGTGTGTTTCAAAGATTGGTTGGATGCGGAAAATCGCTCACAAGACCG